AGACTTCCTTTGGTAATAAAGAAGAACCACACAGAGCTGTAAGAAGCAAAACATTGACCCTGCTGTCTTTATTTTCTTAGTTGCCCTTTTCACTTAAAGTTGGGTTTTACCTATAAAGAATTTTAAAGGTCCACATGTTTTCTACAAACCCCACCGTTTTCTGCACTTTTAACCATCTTTTAAAAGGTGGGTCTTGGGACAACAATTCCCTCCCTAGGGTGTTGATAAGCATCTCTGTCCATTTTCTCCTGGTGTAACTCCGGAGAAGGGATGAATTCTAAACTGTGGAAGTTACTGGACTGTCCTCCTGGAGGCTGTGACATCCAGAATCAAGGCCCACATCTGGGGTGGCCTCGTGCTGCCCATCATAGCATGGCTGAGGGTCTTGCCAAACACGAGAGGTTGGGGCGAACCTGCTTTTGTAGCAATCCATTCTTGAGACAACTGAACCACTCCTGACACCAAATAGAGAGCGGGGGGCCTCGTGACCTCGTCACCTTCACAGGTTATAGTGCATTAACCTTCGCCTGAGTTGCAAGAGACATTCCAGCCATAGCAGGGGCCTTTTGTTAGCTGAGCTGCGGGAAGGTGGGGCTCCTGCAGGCTTTTAGAGCAGAAGTCGGGCCTGGTGCGGGGACCCAGGGCTCCAGGGCCCTGGGCAGAAGAGCAGGCCAGCCCTGTGTGGGTTTTCCTGCGGGCGTGGCCCGGGTGGGGCAGGCCCCAGAACGGTCACAGAGGTGCCCAGCTGGGAAGCCTGCTCTCAGCTGCCCACTTCGTCCTGCGTGACACTTGGCTCAGTGCAGGCCGGGATGAGCAGCCTCTTGGCACCTGCTCCTTTGAGTGGAGGCGCCCTCGCTTCCGCACTCCTTTCGAGTTTGAAGAGAAAAGGAAACAGTATCTTCTCGTTGAACCTTTTGGTCAGTTAACCCACAGCTCAGTGCTTTTCCTGTATGGAGAATAATGCCTGTTCTCACCTGCTTTGTGCAAAAGCTTTACCTGTGCCACCGTGGGGCGTGTCCAGGAAGAGTCAGGCCTCATCCCAGAGGTAGGGGTGCCTCTTTCCTGGGCATAGGTGACTTCCCGTCTGGTGAGGCAGCAGCTGGCGGGGGCGTTGTGGCTCCCTGGTTTGCAGATTGGAGCCTCACTGCCAAGGAGGGGCCTGGTCAGTCTGGAGGCAGGGAGGGTCAGCTCCAGCTGGACCGGAGGGCTGCGTCTGCACTCCGCGGACTCGAGGGTGGGACTGGGCAGCACTGCGCTGGCTCGGTGTCGTGCTCAATGCAGGACTTCGCGGGAGAGGAGAGCTGCACTCACTGTGGGGCAGGGGCTGCAGAGGGGGCTGGCGCGTCCCTCTTTCCGAGGGGACCCTGAATCCTCCCAGATCTGGTACTTGCAGCATCCCCGCGACGCTCAGCTGGCCTGTGTTAATGGTGTGCGGTAATCCTTCCTGTCCAGTGCTGTTCGTACATACGTGTGCATGTGAGGAAGTGGTTGGTCAGCAGCAGCAGGGGTACGGGCTCCGCTTTAGGCCTGATGAGGTCAGGCCACGCTGCCTGCCTGGCTGGCTGAGACAGCAGCACCTGTGCCTGTGACGGCTCAGTGTTCACAAACTTTGTTTCAGGCGCAGAGTGACTGCACCTGCTGTGCAACACTGCCTTCAGGCTCTGTGTGGAGTTGTGTATGAGACAAGTGAGTCTTGTATTTGCAGCTGGGACCCTGCCCACAAGGTCCCATCGTGCACATGCATGTATTCCAAACCTGGAGAAGTCCCGCACGGCCTGCCCCGGCGTTCCCGGGGAGGGTGTTGGCTGGTGGCAGTGCTGTACGAGGGAGCGGTGGCCCTCTTGGGTGGGTTGGGAGCAGGCCGGCATGGGCTGCTGTTACTAAAGCACAGAGCTCTGTGGCATGACAGGCGGCTTTGAGCCCAGACCCGCGTGACTTGAGAGGGACAGAAGAGACGGGTGGGGAGGCCGCACGTGGGTGTCCCAGCAGCAGCTCTGTGCAGGGTATGAGGAGAGTGGCTTGGCCTGGAGCTGGGCGCAGGTGAGGTGGGTGAGGTGCAGTGAGTCCCAGGTTGCGCCAGTGTCCTTTGGACACTAACAGAAATGCAGACACGGGCCGCGTCCTTTGGACACTAACAGAATGCAGATGTGGGCCTCTGCAGAGACTGCTTTAGCGGCTCTGCACTGTGGGCCTCGGAGTCATGGTGTTTTGTTTGGACGGGAAATTCAGGTCCCCACAGCTCCCGGCCTCACCCTGCTGTCACCATTTTCCTTGGGAGCCTTTCTGCACCGATGGACTCTCGGCTGCTAGACCACGCAGTGCTGGGCTGCTAGCAGGGGCCCCATAAATACCCACTGGGACTTAGGTGACCCCTGGATTTATGTCCTGTGCCTGTCTCTCTGTTCTCGTCCTGTCTCTCCTGCACCCAGTCCGTCCCCAAGGCCGGGTCCTCCCATCTGAGCTCCCTCGGTTCCAGCAGTGCTCGTTGTACCGCTTTGCCCTGCAGGACTGAAGTGTCGCTGCTTGTCCCCATCGTCCCGGGAGGACCCCCCCCCCGTGGTCCCTCAGCCAGCTCGCCCCCAGGAGACCTCCCCTGGCTGGCTGTGCTCACAGGGGCCCCCTCTGTCCATCGTGCTGCCTGTCTGTCACCACCTCCAACTGCCTACCAGATGCCTGCACGGCGAGGGGCTGACGTTGCTTCCTGCGTCCACAGCCCGAGTTGGCGATGCAGAGCTGGTGGTGGAGGGAGGAAGTGTAGGCCGCAAGCTGCCCCACTCCTCTTTAGAAGTAAGGTAAGCCCCCAAACACCAGAATCCATAAGCAGTTCCTTGCACCCGCGTTTAAACTCTGGATTTGCTGGTCTTGTGGTCCTTACCGTGCATTTCTGAGTGGCGGGAGTTGATGCTGCATGGACATTTCCCACCTGCTTGCCTTCTTGTGTGTGGGCGCTGAGAAAGGTGCCCATGCCTGGCACTGTAGCCTGCTGGGCAATTTCCCCTGTGGGCCCGGAAAGGCCTCCAGAAGCAGCTCCAGAACGGAGGCCTCTGCCGTCCGCACCCTGCATTTCTCCCCGGTGCAGCCAGGGCAAGCAGAGCTCCTCCCAAGGCAGAGCTCGGAAGCCGTCCCTTCCCAGAGCAGCCCTCAGGCCTGAGGTGCCATGCTGGCCTTCCTTTGGGTCCCGTCGCAGAGAGGCCAGGGACGCCGAGCCGATGGCCTGCTGGGTGCCAAGATCTCTTACTCAAGTTCCGCCCCCTGCCCGGTGGGGTCTCAGTGGTGAAGGCTGCGTGCTCTGGAGCCGGCTTGAGGATGCGCTAGGCCTCCCGGTGAGCCTGGGCTGTGGAGGCGCCGGCCGGCGGGGCCCTGGCAGTGAGCAGGGGCGGGGTGGCCTCCCCCAGGGCCCAGCAGCTTCCTCTCGACTCAGTGACTGCTGCAGAGTGCGCAGTGGGCCCAGGTGTGGGGCGGTGAGGAGGGCTGAGGATGGACCCACCAGCGGGGTAGAGCCCAGCTGATGACGCGATCAACGTCCGGCACCACTCCTTCCTTCCTCTCTGTGACGACCACACAAGGCGAGTGGTGGAAAGGTGGCTTTCCTGACAGTGCCTCATGAAAGCAAAGTCACATGACCTGAGATGTAAATGTTCGCTGTGCTCCTTAGTGGACGGTGACTCTTGTGTAGCTTCGAGCTGTGCAGTTTTGTGTTTCCTTACTGCTTCGGTTGTGTACCGCTGTCTGTCTGTCAGTAGTTCCCTCTGTGTGGAGAGAGATGCACTTTTACAGAGTCAGCACTCACCCCTTGTGCAGGGGCGTCTTGGGAGGAGGCTCTTTAGATGCTGAATTGTGCTCAGTAAACAGTTATTAAGCCCCTGCTGTGTGCAGGAGGGTGGCTGGGCAGAGATGCCTGGTGACGGGATGCCGACCCCAGGGAGCCAAGCTTGAAGACTCGGCAGCCTGGGCCTTTATACTGCCTGTTTGTCTGTCCATGCCTGTCCCGGCCCACCCCTGTGTATCCCTGTCAGTCCCTGCTCATTTCTCTCTGTTCCTGTCCATCCCTGCCTGTCCCTGCACCCGGGAGCACCAGGCTCAGTAACTGGGCAGAGGACAAGCGGAACTGCAGATGAAATAGGATGTGAAGTCACTGCAGAGGTGTCTTTATGAAAGAGCCCTCTCTGCTCAGTGATCTGAGTGACTTCTCAGGCTACTACTGAGTCAGTGTCCTTTATCCATGGTACTTGGGACCAGAGATATTTCAGCTGTTAGATTTGGGGATGTTTTATCTCTTCTGTGCATTTGTATATAAATGATGAGCTGGGGGGGATGGTACTCCAATCTAAACAATGGTATTCATCTGTTTCCTATGCGTGTAGCCTGAAGGTAATTTTATAAAGTATTTTTTAATAGCTTTATGCACGGAACAAAATTTCACTGTGTGAAATCTTCCATTTGTGGTGTCAGGTCAGCTGATGAAGGTGATGTTTTAGGGCATTTTGGGTTTTGAATTTTCAGATTACATGTTGTTTTAAAGTCACCATGGTCAGAGTGCATGGTTGGCGAAGGCCGATTTCTCCACAAGTGCTGCGGGCACCTGAGTGTGGGCAGGTTACGCCTTGCTGCTGCCAGGGCCCTGTCACAGAAGAGCCAGGGGCAGGCGACTGACGTGGAGGAGCCACAGCCTCAGGCCGCTCACTGTGGAGCACCTTGCTTTGAGCGTAGCAGGGCGTTGGAACTGGCGTCCCTCTGAGCACAGTGTCCTTCGGTTTTGTGACTGACCCTTCACATCAGCACCCTGAGTTCCAGCACTACAGAGGTAGACAGACTCGTGCTTTGACTTTAGGAGGACTTAGTTCTCCTGAAAGTGAAGTGTGCAGTGTATTGTCCTCAAACTGTCATTTAGATTTCTCAGTGCGTTTGAAAATACGGGTTAAAAGTTCAGGTTTTTTTCAGTTGGAATCCCTGAGTGTTGCTGAGTTGAATGCTGACTTTCTTCTTCTTTTCTCTTGCAGCTGTCTGGGGCAACTTTGTTAGTATGAGGTAAGTGTTTTACTATCCTGGTGGGGTTATAGCACACATTTTGGTTGTCACCTGGGAGGCAGTGTCCTGGGTTAGTGGGAGAACAGTTTCAGGGGCTGAGTGTTCTGCTGGGCTGTGGCTCTGCTCCCTGGGTGACCTGTGAGGTTACCCCAGCCAAGCCCCCTAGACGGTGAGCACTTCCGTGTCACCACCTCCTTTCTGCCCTCCCTGGGTGGACTGCAGAGCCGGCCCTCTGGACCTGCTTGGGCCACGCCGTGAGGAGCCGGGGCCACCTTAGGGAAGAGAGCTCGAGTGCAGCTCCAGGGAAGTTCCTGTACCTGAAATGCTGGGGACCCAAGGTGTTTGGGTCTTTCCTTTCAGATTTGGAGTGTTTGCTCAGAGAAGGAGCTGTCTTGAGGATGGGTCCAGGTCTGGACAGAGTTCCCGTGTGTTTCACACGCACTTTACATGTGTAGACTGACTGTGACTTTGTTCCATGAGGTCACTTGTGCAGTCCTTTACTTGTGGCATCAGGGCACCACTCAAAATAGTTTGGATGTGGGGCATTTTGGAGTCAGATGTTTGGATTTTCAGCTAAGATACTCAGCACAACCTAGTGTCCTAGGCTTGGGTATCCAGCTTGAGTGTGCGTGACTTGGGCTTTTTCAGAGGCAGGACACATGCTTGTAAAATTTAAATGCTTGTGCTGTATCACTGCCCGATTTTAAAACAATCCCTTTGAAAGTCAGCAGAGAGGGCGTAAGCACTCCAGTAAGAGGGAATTTGGCTCCATTGGTAGAGTTTTCTGGTGGAGAAGCTTGCCGGCCGCTGTCTCTTGGTACTGCTGGTGTTAGATGCTGCTGCTGCTGCAGGAGGCTGCAGGGAGGAAGCGGGCACTTGTCCCTCCCCCATGCCCAGCGGCTTCTCCTGTGGGCAGTGTTGGCTCTGCCAGGCGGGTGGGGCAGTCCATCTGACTCCCGCCTGGCCGTGTGTCTCCTACAAAGACAGCCGTGTGTGGCTAGGTGGGGTTGAAGGGCCCTGTTAAAGGAGCTCTGTTTGCCCTTGGCAGAACTCCTTTTCCTGAACCCCCCAGAGAAGCATACACTCCGGTAGGCTCACTTCCTGCGTCTAATGTAAAGCCCCCTCTTGGGGGTAACGTGGAAGTGAGGTTATTTTGATTTAACAAAAACCATCACTTGGTAAAACTCAATGTGTTCCTCCCGAGCACCCGGCTGTCCTGCCTGTGCGCCCTCTGCTGGTGGGGACTGGGGCACAGACTGGCACACTGGACTGGCGGGGGGCGGGGGTACTTCTGCAGCCTGGGGCCTGTGTGGCCTTAGTTTGTGCAGAAACAAATGTTTAAGTCCCAAGCCTTTCAATTGATCTCAGTTTTGTAGCTTTTTGCTCAACAGGTCTATCCAGGAAAACAGCGAACTGAGAATTGAAAGCAGGATCGAAGAGGTTTGTCTGCTTTGTGTGTCTGCTGCTGTCCACGTATTTGTCACTTGCCCTTCCTTTGCCTGTGCTGGTCCCCAACTGGGAGACCATTTCAAAAACTCATTCCCTTATTAAGAGAGACTTTGTCATCCTGTGGATGCAGTCTCGGTCCCGCCGGTCCGTTTTTATAAAGGTGACAAATTCAAACAAGTCCACCATAAAGGCAACTTCATTTAGACTTTCAGGGGGGCTTTTTCTTGAGCCTTTCCTAGAGAAGAGGGTATGTGACCTGCAAGCCCTGGGTCAGGACCAGCACCCACCCCAAGCAGGTGTGAGGGGAGCATGACCCCAAGCCAGGTGAAGGCTTAGGAGCCTGGTGCGCATCCCTGCACCTGCTGTGCGGGGTGGGGAGTCTCCCCCGCCTGACTGGCAGCTGGCACTTCAGCTGGACTGGACACCCCCAATGGGCAGTAATTGCTGAAGGTTAGAGATGAGGCAGTGCGAGTGTAGCCGGGCTGCTTAGCACCTCTGGCTTGGAAGGCAAATGCTGGGAACCCCTGGGCTGGGCTGCTCTCCTGCCCAGGTGCAGGATGGCATGGGGTGGGGCTCGGCCTGCAGCCTGTGTGCCGGTGGCAGGAGCAAGCCAGGGAGCCTCTGTGGGTGTGCCCAGGGCATCTCTGGGTCCTGAGAAGGTGGGCGGTGTTGACCCGCCTGTCCTTAAGACTGGAAGCACCTCTGCCTGCTTCCTGGTAAGATGGGTGCGTGCAAAGGGGACTTGCCAGCATCTAATGATTACCTGCTTGAGTCTAACGTTGAGATTCAAGTGGTTTGTCTCAGTGTCAGGCTAAAAGTGAGTTTGTACAGGGAATTAAAATCAGTGTTACATTGTCATGTGCATCTGAAATGTCAGAAGAGAGTGCAAGTGGTAAAATACTGTGTTTGTGCTTTAAAACTGATTTTTCTTCTCATCCTAGATTGTTGAGCCACTGAGAGAGAAAATCCGAGATCTGGAAAAAAGGTGAGTGCACTTCTGTTGCAAGCTTAGGAAAGTAGGTACATGTTGGCTGTGTGGCAGGAGAGGGCGGGGCCCGATCTGAGCTCATCTCAGTCGAGTTCACTGATGAAAGCCCGTGTGACCTGTGTGAATGGCGACATCAGAGACCTTCTCGAGACCGGCCCTCCTGAGGGGTAAGTTGTGCAGAAAGGTTGGATGCTCTGTCTTTCCACCCTCTGTTCTTTTTGTCATTAGGACTATTTCTGATGAAAGCAATGGATCCTGTCCAGAGAAAAAAGATTATTTTTGTAGAGGTCTTGCTGAATCCCAGCCAAAGGTTCTTAGTTAGAAATCCGTCTAAGATCAGCTTGACTTCTGTTACTTGTGGCAGAACCTGTGACATCCCCAGTCCCTGCAGGTTCAGCATGGGGAGGGTGGTGCTCAGCGTCCATCTCTGTGTGAGACGTGAGGCGGTCCCTGGCCTGTGTGGGTTAGTGTGAAGGAGCCCGGAGTGAGGTGGCCCCCAGAGGCATATCCAAAGGCAGTGTGGGGCTGGGATAGCTGTGTGTGGTTACCTGACTGCGGCTGTCGCCAAAGCACGTCGGATTTCTGTGTAGCCAGGACTGGAGGACACCGTCCGCGGTCGGGCTGTCCCTGCGGCGGGCGTCGCACGGCACGGCCTGTCACTCACACTTCTCCCTCCCGGAAGTCTCAGGCGCCACAGTGTGGACCTCGAGTGTGCACAGGTGAAGCCCCTGTGCCGACGCTAACAGTTGGGTCCTTAGGCGCTTAGAAAAGGAACGCAGAGCATGAATCCACGGTTCTCACTCCCTCCCTGTGATGAGCGTGGACGGTGCATGTCAGCGGCCCTTGAAACCTTTATCAGATCCGGACAGAAAGGGAGCCGTGAAGAGCAGCTTCCCTTTGAAGAACGGAGAGGACTCATCAGATGCACACACTCATTCTCTTCTTGTCCTCAGCGGAGCAACCAGGCAAGCCCTCGCCTTCAGCCCCTGCTGGACTGCATGTTTTCAGTCCTCCGGTGTTGGGCTTCTCATCCAGCTCTGTCCAGGGTGAACAGGTCCCCAGAACGAGGTGTCTGCGGATGAAAAGAAAAAGAGAGACAAGCAAGGGAAGCAAAAGTCTGGGATCAGCGGGCTTACAGCCTCTTGGACTGCAGCCTCGAATACCAATCTCGGTCACCTTTTATTGAGCAAGAACCAAGGGTGTAGCTAGTACAAATGGGCTGATACCAAATGGTGTTAGCAAGGATAATTAAAGGATTATCCTTCTCCACATGTAATCCAAGACATGCCTGTAATCACAGCACTCAAGAGGCTGAGACAGGAGGATCGTAAACTCAAGGTTAATCCAGCTGTATAATGAAGCCTTGTCTTAAGAAACTCTGACAAATAATAAACAAATCGTTGTGTCCTCAATGCATCCTAATCAAAGAATGTCCTTCTCCACACTGGGGATTAAGCAGAATGAAGTATGAACTCCGCAGCTGGTGGTCTGTCGCTCCCCCCAGGTTAGCCCTCACTGTGCACTGTTACCAGGACTGTGAACTGCCTGTGCCGTGCCCACGTGCCGCTGCCGCCGCCGCCGCCTGTGACGCGTCTTTGGGGGAGAGCCAGAAGCTGTCCCTTCAGTCTGGCTGCATAATTTGAGCAGCTGAATTGGTTTTGTTTTTTTTTTTTTGAAATAATAAATTGTGCATAGTAAGAAATAGCCTACTATAGGTTCCACATTTGTCCCCCAAAAAAGCCCATCAGTGGTCATTTTTTCGTTTCTTTAGACAGAACTTAATTATGGGAAAAATAAATAAGTTTCCTAAGGTGCTGGCTCACAGATAAGATCTCTGGTAAGAAGAGATTGATGTGATTTCCTTCCTGCTTGCGATGTTGTTTGGCTTTTAAATTAGAAGGAAATATGGGCAGGGATTTACTCTCAGGGTTTCCCCGCTGCACACCCTGGTCAGCCCCCGGCCAGCTGCCTGGGTGGAGGGCAGAGGCCGGCGCCGCCCCTGCAGCCTCCGGTGGGCCCTGCTCCCCTGGAGGGGTGGCTGTCTGGTGTGGGGCCCACGCTGTGCCGTGGTTCCACCAGGAGGCCAGGTTTGGTGGCCTGAGAGGGTGAGCTGGAAATGGACGGGGTTTGTGTTCTGGTTTTATTTCCCTGACTGTGATAAGAAGGACTGAATGTCTGTCTCCACACTGGCAGATCTGATCTCTGTGACCAGAAAAGCGCTGCCTAGGTGCGCGTGTCACTCGGGGCAGCATGGCCTGGAAGAGCAGGATCCTCTGCCAGCTGAAGACCACCTGCGTTTGTCTAAAGATGAGGAGTGCAGTGTTGTGGAAGCCCGGGTGGACAGCAGTGGGCTCTCTCTCCTCCTCACGCCCCATGCCGTAGGGTTTGGATTTCCAGGCGGAGGTGTCCACAGCGTGGGTGCGGCCTCCCTCCAGGCCACAGGTCACAGGCCCCTTCGGTACTGCAGAGCCAGTGCGCGTGCTCCACACCCTCCTCCGTGGCGGCGGTGATAAGTAGCTGCACCGCGGCTGGTGCGCCCTTGTGGGGGGGCAAGGCTGAGGCAGGGGTCTGTCTGCTTTTACTGCAGCGGAGATTCTGTCGTGAATCTTTCTCTCCACAGTTGGTGGGATTCTCGCAGGCACAGAGAGCCTGCTGTGTACATCCGTTTCATTCCATTGCTGTCTTCAGTGCTCTCTGAACAGGGGTCAGTTAAATTCTAAGGCAGCAGCTTGCAGGCTGTCCTGCAGAAGCGTGAGCTTAGGGTGTGGTACCACTTCAAATGCCTGGGAGCTGTAAGAAGAGGTCTGTCCCTCGCTTCACGCCAGCTCTGGCGCCGCCTGCCTGCTGTGCCCCATGGGCAGCCAGGGAGCTCTGTCCTGCTGTTACTCTGGTGCCCGTGCCTCACAGTGGTAGGTGGTTGAGTAAAGACCCCTGAGTGGCCAAGCCGTCCGCTGGGTGAGGTTTCTACAGGCCTTCCAGGAAGCCCACTGCCCCCTACTGCCTGTGGCCACACCCAGTGCCCAGCACAGTGGGGCGTGGAGCCACTCAGTGGTCCTGAGCTGTGACAGTCCGTTCCCGTGCCCACCAGCCATGGCTCCTCACAGCCAGGTGACGGGCATCCTGGACAGCACCTGACAGCAGCTCGTCCTGTCGCTCAGAGCCCCACCCTCGGCCTCTCCAGGGAGGAGACGCAGGGCTGAGCACTGACCCTGCGTGCGGAGCGTGACACTTGGTTGCAGCGTAGTGAAGAAAAACAAAGCAGGCCCCATCCTGCCGGCCGTTGTCCTTGGAGTCTGCAGGGGCTCCTCGGGGGAGTTGTGCACTGTGAGAAGCCTCAGCTCCAGACGAGCACACTGCTGCTGCAGAGGGGAAATACCTGCTCCTGGCCACTGGCTAAGGAATGGCCCCTTCCGTTCAGGAGCCCGTCAGTGTCCCAGCACTGCGCGTCCTACACAGGGACAGGGACTGCGCCTGGGCCAGCGCCGCTCAGTTAAAACAGTAACTGCAAAGCTGATCGCAGTGACTGAGCACTTTGTTCCTGACTGCATCTCTGAGTGAGCATTCAGACAGGTGCTGTCCCTCACTGGTGTGCTCCAGCCGTGTGGCGCTGCTCCTGGCACATGCGTGTGCGTTGGAGGGAGACGGGGGACAGGAAATGCTGGTGCCTTCCGTGCACCCATGAGGCCAGTCGGGAAAGGCTCCACGACGATGCCCGGAGGGGGCGGCTGTGTGATGTGCCTTCCTTTTGGTCTGGCATGGCACAGTTCCCCCAGCTGGGGCCCGGGACCTCCAGTGGCTGCCCCTCCTTCTGGGTGCTGGGTCTGCCCAGGCGTTTTGAGGGTGCTGCTTCCTGTCTTGTGTTTTCCCTGGCCGGGCAGAGGTGCTGCCTCTGCGTTCCTGGCCGCTGTAAGCCTCTGGCTTGGCTGGATTCCGAACAGGAGCAGGCGTGGGCTTTCAGGAGCTCTGGGAGCTCCTGGGTTCTCTGGCAGAGGTGAAGGCAGAGGGCACCAGCCGACGGTTTCAGATCTGATCTCTGGTCATGGGTAGAGAACGTGCCCTGCGGAGATGCCTGACGTTTTAATCGGTTGTGTTTTACAGTTTCACCCAGAAATACCCGCCAGTGAAGTTCTTATCCGAAAAGGATCGCAAAAGAATTTTGGTAAGTGTGCCGATCTGATGAGTGTGTGTCGTGTTAACACTCTTGGTCTCTCTTTGGGAGATGACACCTGTGCCTGAGCCTCGTGTGCACACAGTTGGAGTTGGTATAGTTGGCTGGCACGGCTGCAACAGCAGCGCGCCCTGCCTGCAGTGTCCTCACCCCCAGCCGAAGGAGCCCGGTGCCCACAGTCACCCTTCCCCACAGCTCCCCAGCCCTGGCGGCTGCCCACATTGCACTGTGTCTGAGATCGGCCTCGTCTGCACACCTCGTGAGCGTAGTGGTGGAGCGCGTGGCCTTTTATACCTGTTTCACTTGCCGAGAGCAGCATTTCCAAGGTCACCCCCGCTGTGGCTGTGGCCGGAAGCAGTTGCCCTCCCTTCCCGTGGCAGATCTGCAGCCTGGTGTGTGGGCACCACATGTGCTTGTCCGTTGCTCAGGGACGGGCATGAGCAGTGCTGTCCACTCTGAGGCCATCGTGAGTGACGCTGTGTCTGCTCATGCATATGGTTTATGTGTGGCCGGAGGACTCCAGACTCTTTGGCTGCGCCTGGGACTGGAATTCCTGGTCATGTGGTGGTCCTCCGCTTAGCGTTTTGAGGCAGTGTGACACTTGCAGAAGAGTGAGGCATTTCAAGCTTTGCTGGTTCACAGACCAGTTGGCGAGTACCCCGGGCGCTTCCTCGGCTAGGTCTCCGTGTTACGTCACCACAGATTCCCTGGTGAAAACGCGCTGTAACGTGTCGAGGTGCACCTGTGCATCTTCCCAGGATAGCATGTTGAGATGCAGCTCACTTACTGTTTGACTTATCTTTAGACGTGGTTTTGATTATGAACCCAGAGCGGTGCCCCTTTTGCCGCATCTCGTGTTAGACCCCAGGAAGAAGCCCACGCCCAGCAGTGGTCTTGCCTCACTGGCTGTGGGGCCTCCGCACCGCAAGTCCTGGCAGCCCCCGCTTGCCGTTTGTGCTGTAGATTTGCCTGTTCACTGCTGTGTTTCTCCCTTGCTGAGACTCGTTAGCTGCGTGGTGGTGTTTGTCTCGGGATCTCTTGCCTGCTTTTTTTCTACTTTATTAAAGGTAGAAAAGAAACAGGCTTTGCTGAGAGAGATTGGGCCAAGGAAAAGTAGGCGGAAAGGTACACCCTGCAGTGTGCGGGCGGCCAGCATTCAAGAGCGAGCACAGCGGCCTCTCCCAGCTTCGTCATCGCGGTGTGAACGAGGCCCGTCTTGTTTCTGTCCGGCAGCCCAGTGAGTAACCCGGCTGTTGCTGAATCGGCCACAGCACTGTGCAGTCCCGCCCGCAGGTCTGAGGGTGCAGACCGAGCTCCTTGGCTAGCGCTCGGAGTTTTCTAGATGCAGGCTGGCGTCATCTGCGTTGCCAGATGCTGTGAGTCCTCGCTTTTCTGTAGGGATCCGCCAGGGCGGTGCCGGGAGTGTGGACGGGTCCTTGTCCTGATTTGCAGAGCTGGCTTCTGCTTACCTTTAGTGTGATGTTCACTGTAGGTTTTTCGTCAGTGCCTTTTGTCAAGTTGAAGAACTTCCCCTCAGCTCCTGATTTGCTTAGTTTACAGCCCGCGTGGCACACCTGGGATGAATCCAGTTGGTGATAATGTGTCTGCGTGCAAAAGAGACAGCAGGTCTATGATTTCCTTTTTTCAGGGTGTCTTTTACTGGTTTGGATGTTAGAGCGGTACTGGCCTCCTAGGATAAATTGGGAAGTATTTGTCTTTTGTTTATTGTTTGATGAGTTTGAGAGGATTTGTTCTCAATTCTTTAAATGGTGAAATTTTCCACAGAAACCACCTGAGGCAGACCTCTTTACTGGGGATGTTATTGACATTTGTTTCTTGATTACTAATTCAGTCTCTTGCTGTAAACGTGCTCAGATTTCCTGTATGTTGAGTTAGTGTTGATACTTTTTCTTTGTAGCAACTTCCCTGTTGCATCTAAGTCGTCTGATTTGTTGGCATACATTAGTTATGCTATTCCTGTAATATTCTTAGTTCTCTAAGTTCGGTAGTAATCCCCCCTTTCACATCTAGTGTTAGTAATTTGAGTCTTTTTTTCCCTGAATCTAGCTAGCAATCCATCAATTTATTGATCTTTCCAAGGAACCATCTTAGTTTTCTTGATTTTTCCTTTTCTCTTTGTTCAGTTCCTTAGTTCATGAATTTTTGTTCTTTTTTTCCTTTCTTGTACATGTCTTAGAGTGAGTTTGTCTCCCTTTTTTCTGGTGTCCAGTAGAAGTTTAAGTTACTGACTCAAGATTTTTCTTCTTTTTAAATACAGGCCTTCACAGCTGTAAGTTTCCCTCCAGCCACTGCTGTAGCTGCACACAGATTTTAATACACTGTTTCTTCTTTGTCCTTCATCTCAAAATGTTTTGTTACTTCCCTTGTGATTTCTTCTTTGATCCCTGGCTGTTTACCAGTGTGTCAATTTGGGTAACATGTTTCATGCTTGTGAGTTTCTCATAGTTCTTCTTGTCACTGATAACTGAACTTTATTTCATTGTAGTCAGAGAACATGCTTAGAATGATTCAGACCCTTTGAGATTTATTAACGCTTGCTTTCTGGTGGTGGAGTTGGTTTCCCCCGACGAGCAGTGTTTGCTCTTAGGTCATGTGCTGTGCCGTTGTGGGTGTCCTGTGGGTATCTCTCAGGTCTCATTGACTTGTGATGTCTTTGACATTTTCGGTTTCCTGGTTAATCTTGTGCGTGGTCCTGTCCGCTGGAGAGAGTGCATCATTGAGCTGTCCAGTTGTCATTGTTGAATTCTCCGTTCCTCCCTTCAGTTCTTCTATCTTCGCTTCATGCATCTTGGGGTGCTGTTGTTGGGGCGGAAGTGATTATCAGTGTAGTAATCATCTGATCACCTTTCATTGTAAATGCCTCTCTGTCTCGGTCTTTCCGTTTTAAAGTATACTTTGTCTGGTATCATTATAGCCCCTTCCCTGCTTCTTGCTGTCCACTGTGTTTTCTGTCTTACGTGGTGCTCACTGTGGCTTTGGGTTTGGAGCGTGCCATCTTTAGTTGGTCCTTCTGCCCTCTGGTCTGGTTTGGGGTTCTGTTTGATTGTTTTTTGCCCGCAAGTGGACTGTTGAGTTGCACATGTCCCTGTCACTGTGAGATGCTGGCCTGTCTCCTGCCTTCCCTGCGAACGTTCCCCAGCTACTGCGTTCTGTTCTCAGTAATGGTTGTCTGCCGTCACCCGTGAATTCCAGGTGTCACGCCGCTCCCATGCTTACCCGCACATCTCACAGCCAGTGGTGACGGAGCTGCGCCGGGCTGTCAGTGCCACTCGCGCTGCTGTGGCACATCCCCTTCTGTGGAGCTCTTGGTAAACATCTCTGTCTGGGTCACAAGCCCAATAATGTGTTCTTACGTTTATTACTGTTATGGTTAGTGTCTGGGTGTCCCTCCAAAACCTCAGGCAGTCATGGGGTGGGCTTCTAGAGTTCATGATTGATTCAAGGTCCAGGCATGGGATTATGCGTGTGAGTGCTACACCCGCCTTGGGACGGGTAGTTGGCATTCAGTGTAAGGGAGGGAAAGAGGCTGCTTGCCACCCTCCTCCCTTTTGCTGTTGTTGCTTTTGCTGTTTTCTGCTGCCATGAATTGTTGTCCTCTGCCATGTGCCACTCTGCCTTGGAGCCAGCTGAGCATGGACTGAAACCTCCATGAACCGTGAGCTAAATAAACCTTTCCCTTCTTAATGCTGGGTGTCAGGTATTTTGTCTCAGCAACAAGAGAAAAGAAACCAAGACAATTACTTTATATAATTTAATGTGTTAAAGAAGCTGAGAGTCAGGTGATATTTATAGAACTTGTTAGATTAACCTTATTATCACATCTCGATTCCCACAGTTGTTCCTGAGTTTGAATTAATTTCGTCTACGTTTCTTGCTGAATTATAGCTTTTGTTTTTGTGCTAATGTTGTCGAATTTACTTGTCTGTTATAGGGACTGATAATATAGTTATGTGTGTTTTATGCATTTGAATTTTTTCTTTCTTGTGGTAAAATATACATTTAAAATTTATCATTTTAACCATTTAAAAATATGTGCTTCTACAAATCCCTGTGCATTTGATTCTGAAATGATTTCAGAGCAGAAAGGGAAAACGTGTGAGTATACAGTCTTATCATTTATATCCTTCTCCCATGGTTTTTAGTCCCTGGGGTCACCTGTCTCACCTCGGAGCGCAGCTGTTATTTCTTATAGGTCTGCTAGTAGTGATCACCATCATTTCTTGTTCAATCTGGGAACGGCTTTATGCTGTTCTTATTTCTGATTGCTATTTTCGGTTGTTAGGTAGCTGTTCTTTACTGACAGGTTTTTTGGTGTGTTTTCTTTTTTCACTTTGAATATGTGATACATTATTTGTTACAGTGAGTCAGCTATTAGTTAGGTTGGAATACCCTTTCATTAGACAAATCATTTTTCTTTCTGTGCTGTATTTCTAGGGTTCCTGTAACAGTTACTACTGACTAGTTTTATACAAACCCCATAAAGGTTATCAGTCAGGGTTCTCGAATTCTGTAACCAAGGTGTGGCCAGACTGTCCCTTGCCTGTGTCCAGCTCCTGGTACTGCCAGCCACCTTCCGCCTTCCTGGGCCAATAGGCATCCATCACCGTCCCTGCCTCCTTGCCCGGCGGGTCCTCGTGTAGGCCCTGGGATCGAGCACCCCTGCCGCAGCCATGCTTTCAGAGAAGGTTGTGTTCTGAAGTTTGCAAGGGTGTGAACTTGGCAGGGCAGCGATCAGCTTCTGGAGCTGCTTTCAGAAGCTTGTCTGTGTTTGGTTTTCAGAGATTTTGTGCAGTTAGCTGTGTGCAATGGCTTTTGTTTGTGTTCTCCTCCTCTGGGCTTCCTGGATGTGCAGGGGGTGTGTCTTGGGTGCTGAGCATTCTCAGCCATTATTTCTGGGAATATTTTTGCTCTCCCTTCCCCCTTGCTTCGGGACTCCACCTCTCGCGTGCGTGTTGGTGCCCCGTGTTTGCTGCAGGGCCTGTCAGTGGCCTGTATTTCTTCTGTCCGTCCTTTGGTTTACATCGCCCTCCCAGTCTAAGTTGGTTGACGCTTTTCCCAGTTCTAGTAAACTGTTGAGTCTCTCAATGGAGTTTTTCTTTGCAGTTGTGCTTTTTCCGCTGTAGAATTTCCTTTTGTTTCTGTTTCATGTTCTCTTTTTTCCTATTTATTTTAAGCATTGTTTCTTTTTAATTCTGTGAACATAGTTACAATGTCTGCTGTGAAGTCTTTGCTGTGTCTGCAGCTGGGCCTCACACAGGCACGTTTGTTGTTGAGTTTATTTGAGTCTTGGTTGCTGTTTATTCGGGTGCTTCCTAATATGTGGAGAAAAGTAGACTTTTAGGTGATGCACTGCAGCAGTTTTGGATAGGGTTCCCTGCCCCTTCTTGACTTGTTTTATTTGCTTATTTACCGGGTTAGTGACTTGGCTGTGGTGTCAGTGAAGTCTGTTTGTACCCCGCTGTGGGGCTCCTGGTGCGCCTCCTCCAGCGCTGCACAGCCCATGGGTGACAGCAGTTCCAGCAGCCTGTGGTTAGCAGCCCAGCTGTGACACCTCAGGTGGGTGACCGGAACCCACTGTCCTCAGCCTCCCGGGCTGGGAGGTGCTGGTGACTGCCCTTTCTCTCAGGATTCCACCTCTGGACTTGGCCACATCAGCACACTCGCCCACTCTGAAGGGTGGGGTGTGGCGGACTCTTGCTTCTCACTGAAGTTTAGGTCTTGTTGAAATGTTGCTGGCGGACTTGCTTAGGACAGTTTCCAGAGGCCTTTGCTGTGCGTCTTTGCTGGTCCTGGCAGTGCGGCTGTCTGCTGGGAAGCAGGTCTGTGGAGGCCTTGCCTGCCTTTGCAGTGTGTGTACCAGTGCCCGGGGCGCAGGCTAGGCTGTGTTCCTCCGCCCGGCCAGGCTGCAGAGCTCTGTGTTCCAAACACCAGCGTGGGACTGCTGCCCGGGTCAGGTCTTAGCCTCCACCCCACTAGTTGCTCTTTTCTCACTTTCTGCACCGGCTCACACGCTTCTCACCTTGGGCAGACTGTCCGGGTGGTTGGTGCGCGTGTGCTCGTCCTTTGGGGTTATTTCTGCTGCATCAAAGACCTGTGTGCATTTCAGCATGAATTTAGAAATAGGTCAGTGTCAGCAACAGTCAGCAAAGTTCACCGTTCTAATCTTTCTCCGTTGCCACCCGTGAGCTTGCCCGTCAGATCCGAAGTCTGCCCTTCGTCTGTTCTGTGTCGTCACCAGCACAGACAGTTCAGTGAGCACAGCTCTGCTGGCTCAGGATTCTAGAGATGTTGAGGTCCAAGGTCAAGGTGCCGATACCTGGTGGGGGCCGTCCTGTTTGGCAGACGGGCAAATGGAGGGCACAAGAGACAGGAGGGACAGAGCTCCACATTTTCTAAGAGCCCCCCCTCTGTAATGAGAAGGCTGCAGTGCGTAAAGTTGAGGGCAGCCCTCACCTCGGTGGCGCTCTGTGTGTGATTCCTGTGTGTGGGATGAGTTCCTGCCAGTGCTGAGAGCGAAGGCCTCTTACACATCGTCAGCAAAAGTGGCCTTCACCTTCTTCCTTGGCTGCCGTCTTAGGCTACATCTCAGGCACTGCCGCCTGGGGCTGGCCTATTGTTGCTAAAGCCTTTTTGGTAGTTGTTGAAGCCTTAGGACAAAGATTTGTGTGCAAATGTATTCTTTTTTGGAAATGTATTTTTACTGATTTCTGAGCATGAGCTGGAATGCTGCCTGCCCTGGGTCACCTACACCTCCTCTTAGTACCCCCAGGACAGGGCCACCCTGCGCCTTGAGTGTGGAAGGTCGCCTGTCTTTCCCCTGCCGTCCGTGCGGGCTCCTTGTCATGCAGACCGCGCGTGGGCCTGGAGATCAGTGTTCCCAGGGCATTGGCAGCTTGTGCTAGCTAGTTTTGCTTCCATTTGAAGCACTCCCATCATGGGCTAAAGGAAAGAAGAGATTGTTGATCAGGGAAAAAACTATAAACCTGTCCAGCTGTGTTACATAAATCCGTACGTGTTTTGATATTGGGGAATTATAAAAAGAAAGAACTCTGGTGTGTTTAGTCAAGGGTGACGTGCTTCCAACAATTGTACGTCACTGCGAATGCTGCTGAAATGTGGGGAGTGAACGCATGTAATTTAACTTGCTATGTTTCTGCTAGTTCAGGCTGTCAGCTGGGTGTTTTGGGTACATAAATCATGTTAGAGTGCTATAGAACTCTATTCTTATTTTCAGACACATTTGCATAGAACATATAAAGTTACATTGAAAGGGCTTGTGCGTTTTTTTAGAAGTAATTTTTTCTGATTTAAAAACCATGAAAATGTTGGGAAAATTCACCAGTTAGAAGAGAATAGAAACTTATCCACTGAAGTAAGTAGTGCCCCCTCAGGTTTGACATTCTGGTATTTTCCCAGAAAATCCCTGCTCATGGTCATTGTGTAGATACAGAGCTAGAATGTAAGTGCATCTGTCATTTTCAGTGTCTGTCACCAAATACCCGCCTCATAGACAGGGGAGTTGTTTAGCTCATAGTTTTGGAGGCTGGAAGTCCTAGATTGGGCAGCCCCATGGTCCGTCTTCCAGTGGGAACCGCAGGGTAGACAGAGACTGGTGGTAGTGGTGTGGGAAGAAGGCACGTGGCCAGGCAGTGGGTCACAAGCCACCCATTTTCACGACAGTTTGAATCCAGTTTAAACGCTTGTACTTTTTTTGGCAGTTTACCAAGTCTCTGCATTTTGCTGATCACCTTTTCAATAAAGTAACTCTAAACAGTTGCAGTAGTACTGAAGTCATAGGCACTGATGTTTTGTGTTCCCGGGGGCTGGATCCAGGACTCCTCTGGGTAGCAGAATCCAAGGATGCGCAGTCCATTATGTAAAGTGGTGTAGAGCTTGCACAGAAATTTCCCTGCCTCCTGTGTGCTCTGACTAGTCTCTGGGTGACACGCCCTGTGCCAGGCTCATGCTGTGCAAATAGTGACTACGCTGTGTTGACTAGACGTACTTACAGCAGAAGAGAAGTCTGTAAAGGTTCAGTGCAGCCCTCGCGGGGCTAAGTGCACCATCTGTCCCTGGTCAGCGGGGTCGCGGCTGTGGAGCCCAGTGCAGGGGGTTCAGCATCTCATCTGTCACAGAACAAACCTTCACCGTGGGAAACCCACAGCGAAGACTCTGGCCCCTGAGCTACGGTGCTTCTGTGTGAGCTGCTGAGTGGCAGCTTGCAGGTTATAGACTGCTCAGGTGTCCGCAGAGTGTGAGGCCTGACCAGCTCTGGGCGGGTGTGAAGATGCTGCCTGAACCCAGGTCTGATTCGAGTCTGTAAATGGTGGTGGCCAGAGGTGCGTGTCTGAGGCGGGTCACCCCTGTGCCCACACGTCCTTTCTGGCGTGCTGTGCGCACGCTGCCCCCACACAGGTCACTGGTGGTGCAGGCTTCGTGGGCTCCCACCTCACGGACAAGCTCATGATGGACGGCCACGAGGTGACAGTGGTCGACAACTTCTTCACAGGCAGGAAGCGGAATGTGGAGCACTGGATCGGCCACGAGAACTTCGAGCTCATCAACCATGATGTGGTGGAGCCGCTCTACATCGAAGGTGAGACCTGGGTGTGCTGGCGCAGCCACGTGGAGGGCGTGTCGTGTCATGAGTTTGAACCGGTCCGGCTGTACAGGGCCCTCTTGACGTCCGTAGGGAAGAACGGTTGTCATGGAGTGGGCCTCCGTTCTCGGTGTCACGCGCTCCCTGGGTGTTGAATTCGGGGGTTCTGTGTGGTGCACCTCTGGTAGGACCTGAATGAGTGGGTGCCTCGGGGTAGATCAGGGGGTGGCCTTAGCTGGTTGGGGCATTCGGCCAAGTCCTCTTGACTGGGCTCAGTGCCCTGCTCGTGAAGCCGGAGAGCTGCCTGGCCTTCCTTCCATGAGAGGACCACGTGGCTCCATACGCTGCACCTGGATCCGGGGCTTCCCAGCCCGGGTGCTGGAGATAGCCTGTGTGTCAGAAGCTTGTAGCGTTTCCCTGCAGCAGTGGGCACCCCTCCTGGCAGGCCTGATGCCAGGGCTGCCTGCCTGGGAGCCCGCACAGCTTCCGGGAGGAGGCTGGTGTGGAGCTGCTGTGGTCTGGGTCTCACATGTGCCCCAGGGCCGTGGGTTAGAGGCTCTGTCTGCCAGGTGGAGCCGCTGGTGGCCGTGGCAGGGCTTCCTGAGATTGCTGGGCTGCGCCCTGGAAGGGCTGCGGTGCCTGCCTGTCTTTCTCTCCCTGCGTCCTGCTCCGCCACATGCCGCACTCACTGGAGGCCCAGAGTGGGGCGCCTGTCGTTGTGGACCAGAGCCTCCAGGGCTGGGCCCACGTAATTCCTCTTCCTTTCCGAGTTAGCCGTCTCTGGTGTTCTGTTACAGTGGTGGGAAGCTGACCGGCACCAGTGCTGGAGTCCTCATGAAATTCCGCCTGTGAGTGCTAGAGGCTTCTGCAACTTTGCAAGTTCAGGAATCACAGTTGGGGCTGCAGTACAGGAGTTTTGCAGCGGCTCCCAAAAGATTTGTGCGTGTCTTCATTCCAGAGCCTGTGACTGTGCCCTTGTGGAAACGTGCACACCCTCAAGGCTCTCCAGGCTGGTCCAAGCTGGTTCTCGGGCCAGCGTCTCTTCAGGGGGGGTCCTGGGGTACACAGGTGCCCTAGGGAGAGGATGAGGCACGCTGGGCCAAGGTGCAGCTGCCAGAGGTCTGGAGAGTTGTGCCTGAGCCCATCCGCGCCTCCTTGGGCTCCTGGAGAATAGACGATGTCATCTCTGGGATGCTGTAGCTGAAGGAGCCACAGGAAGCTGTCAGCTGACTTTGAGGGACCCTGCCCTGCAGGTCCTCAGCGGTGCAGGCCAGGACAGCCACTAGGTCCTCCCGGGAGCCTGGGTGCTCCCTTAGGTCAGCCTGCCTATGGTCACAGGCTTCACATGGCCACGCCTGGATCCAGGCCTATGTGCAGTGAAGCACCCTGCCCTCACCACCGTCACAGACGGGGGATTCCCTGTCCACGGGCCCCTGGAAGTGCCCAGTATGCCTACCCTGCGGCCTAGTTAATCTCTTGGAAAGCTCTCCAGGGTTTATTATAAACGTCTTTGCAACCGTTTCCCCAGTAAACAGCTCACCTATGAGCCAGAGCAGACACCACGACAGCTCAAGGTGTGGAGTCTCCTCAGCTTGGGAGCTTGAGTATGGTCCTTGAAAACTACTAGCAGAAATAGCGTGCAAGAAGGTAGAAAATCAGTAGTTCAATGCAGCCTTCGCTTCTGAAAAGTGGGGCTTCTAACATGATTGACGAAGGAGATCCCAGTTGTTTCTTTTTCCCACTTTTAAAATTTGCTTTTATTTTGGACTCTTTCTTCATAGAGAGACTGTTAGCCATTGGGCGCAGGTTTAGCTGATTCTCCCAGTCTGGCTTGTTGCCTTTTCATTTCATTGAGATTTTATATTTTAATATAGTTTCATCTGTTCATGTTCCCCCTGCTATTTCTTCTCTTTCTCTTGTGCTGTAACCATCCCAAGGTTAGATGAACACTGCATGTAATCTAATATTTGTAAAACAGCCATGGTGTTTTTTGTGTGCCTCATTTGTAAACATTCGGTTACTTAATCTGCATGGAATCTGTTTTGTTGGAGCTGTGGCTTCTGAAGAGTCCACAGGTGATCTAGGTGGTATATCTGGTGGCCCACTTCCTGCCTGGCCTTCCTGGTGGGGGGCTGTGTGGTACGCTGAGACGGGCAGGTTTTGAAGGGTCCTACCACAGGTGCTGCTGCGTGCAGCTTTGCTGATACACCTGTGACTGCAGACTGAGGCGGAGACCGTGCTGGCGAGGCGGGGCGATGGGCCTTCTCACCAGCAGAGCGAGGGCTGGAGGCAGGCAGAGGTTCGGAGGCAGCGGAGCACCGGGGGTCCCAGCAAAGGGAAGCCAGGGAGATGCACCGTGGAGGGGACCCGTGCAAAGGCCCGAGCTGTGTGCCTGTGAGAGCCCAGACAACGCCCAGCTGACAGCCAGCGGGAGACAACACAGGCTGCAGCCTCCTAGCGCTGAGCGCACCAGTGTCCCAAGTCATCCCTGAAAAAAGGAGCCGGCCCTGGGGACCCCTGGCTCCACCCAGGAGAGGCAGAGCCGCGAGCCTGTGCGGCACTATGCCAACCTCTGACTGCGCCCCGCTGGCCCCGACAGGCGGCACACAGACCCCTGGCTTCATTCGGGGAGTGGAGGAAGTGGCCGTCGTGGCCCCCACAGACAGCTGCTCCTCTGTGGTCACGTGGTACGGTGTGACATCAGTATTGCTGAGGACCCAGAGCCCAGTGAGCTGCTGTTAGTAAGAAGTTTGTGTCCTTTAACTCTGCGCTTCAGCACCAGAGCTGAAGGTGTGAGGTCATCCCACCTCCCGGCAGGCAGGTGAGTCGCGAGGAGAGCCGCTGCTGGGGACAGGGCCCGGCCCGGGGCGGCGCCCGACTCTCGATGGCCTCCACGCGGAGGTTTCGGCTGTGCTTCTCGCCCTGCTGGTGGAGCGTCGGGGTGGGTTTCAGGCACCGTGGCCTTGCCAGTGGGGAGCCCGTTTGTGGCCTTCTCTGCGCCCACCTCAGCCCCACACCCTTGGAGGGTCCCGCTGTTGGCACTGGGGCTCTCCGAGGCTCATTCCTGGGCTCCTGCCCGGAGTGTGTGGGGTCATAGCCAGCTCGCTTGGCGGGAGTCAGCCTCCAGGGCGCCCCGCCCGGCATGCGAGCAGGTGCCATCGTCCCGCTCTGCTCCCACTGTCCACTCCAGCTCAGACTTGGAAACGTTGCGCCCACGCTGGGAGTGCTCTGGGCTGCAGGACGAGTTCCGGCACCCCCCACCCCACCCCTCCCAGCCTCGCCATGAGTAACTTTCCCCTCCATTGCGTTCCAGGCACACAAGCAGCAGCTCGCGCCTGGTTGTTTACTGCTGTGCTGAAGTCTCATTTCTCTCCCCTTGGCAACTCTGCCCCGGCTGGTGACGCCCATGGAGGATGGGCTGCAGAGGATGGGCTGCTCCTGCGCGTGGGCTGCTGCGGGCGTGTCCCTCAGGGCTGGGAGCAGCAGGGCGCTGTCAGTGCGGGAACGAGCCCGTGGAGCCGCCCTTGGGGAGCCCACTTGTTAGCCGGGCCCTGGGGGGCAGGCATCCTCAGCTGAGGGCTCCTGGGCCACGGAGCAGGGACTGTGGTCCCTGCGGGCTCGGGACCCTGCGTCTGTGTGCTCCCAGGTCGCCACGGGCCTGCCCTGCCCACCCCCGAGGCTGTGGTGAGGGAGCGGAGGAGGCCGTGCTGTTAGTGGTGCGGGGAGTGTGTGCCTGTCCCTGGGCCCGGGGCGTGGCGAGCCAGCCCTGTAGGTGACCAGCAGGAAGAGGGGCTGACTGTCCAGGAAGCTCCATCCTGGCTCGACTGCACCTGTGTGCAGAGATGGGTGTGGTGTGCCCCGCCTGGCTCAGGGCAGCACCCTGCTCTGTCTGGTGCTCCCTTGGAGGCCCTGGCCAGCCTCCACCCCAGCCTGCAGTAGTCGACCCCCCGTGGTCGGTGGTGCAGACCCACTGGTTCTAAGAGATCAAAGCCCGCACACCTCGGTGTGTGCTGTCCTCAGGGCCTGGGGCGTCCTGAGGGCCGGCAGAGATGCCAGTGCCCGCACCGCCGGGCTCCGCACACCCACGTGCGCTGTCCACTCAGTCAGAGCCTGTGTGGACGGGCTGAACCTGGACCCGGCCTGGCCTGCTGTGTGCCACACTGGGGGGACACAGGGTGACAGAGGCTCGGCCACATCTGGATCGGCGCTGCTGCCATACCCAGGCAGACGTGCGGCGTGGACCCAGCGTCCACTTTCCCTGGCCAGCTAGGTCCGGAGGTGCTTGGTGGGGCAAGGGCGGTTTTCCGTCCACGCCTGCAGCCCTGTTGCTTTGGGGCCCTGGTGGTGATGACATCCCACTGGGAGCCTGTGGGCAGGAAGCTGCTTGCCTCCCACAAGAGAGCGGGCGGGAGGAGGGGGCCCCTGTCCCCGTCCAGGGCCTGCGGTGCCCAGCCTGCCGCAGCCCGGTCCTGCTGGTCCACTCAGCAGCAAGGCGGGCAGGCGCGGAGGACAGGCTGGTGAGGAGCCGGCTCATCTGCGGGCGGTGCCGTGACAGAACTGTGCTTTCACTTTCGGCTGTGCATCAAGCCGCACAGCTTGGGAGGGGGTCACGGGGTTTCCTGAGAGCCAGCCCTGGTCTGTGGGAGGGCAGAGCCCCCGGGACTGAGTGACCTCGGTGGCCACCTCCTGGCACTGCCCTCCAGAGTGCACGCTCCAGCATGGGGCCCCCAGGGGCAGACCACATCCCCACCCCGCACCCGTTGTAGTGCGCAGAGAGGGGGTGGGAGGGGGCGCCAGCAGGGCTCACGTGGGGCTGCACCTTCTCATCCGGTCCCCAGCTCTGCTGCCCGGTGCCAGGCGTGTGTCCTGCCACCTGGCACTCACTGTAGTGGATGGATGGTTGTCTTGGGTGTGTTTGCCCGTTGCTGCCGTTTCCCTGGGAGAGGCTGAGGCCCTGCTGCGTGCAGGGTCGGGGGGACACAGCCTGGGCAGCGAGGATGCGGGTGTCTGTGTTAAACTGAGCGCCTGCACTCCAGGGGCCGTGTGGAGGCCGGGAGGTTCTGCCATTTGTGGCTTTCACGCCGGCCTCCTCGGCCGTCATCCCGGTGGGGGTCTTCGTGCAGGATGTGTAGACACAAACCAAAGCTCCCGCCCCAACTCTGCATCGTGTGCCTGCGTTGGGTTTGCCTCACACAGGCATTTACCTAGTGTCTCAGTTACTTTTCTCTCATTGCTGAGATAAAAGACCCGACACCCCCTGTTGAAGGGGAAAGCTTTTTTTAGCTCACAGTTTGTGAAGGTTTCAGCCCATAATCGGCTGGCTCCAAGGCAGGGTGGCACATGGCAGAGGAGAAAGTTCATGGCAGCAGAAGACAGCAAAAGCAGCAAGAGCAAAAGGGGGAGCAGACATGTATCTTTCTGGCCCTTTCATGCAGGCTGCTGGGATTAGGGCAGTGCCAGTCCAATCAGTGAACTGACCAGCAGTCACTCACCTATAATTCCAGCACTGAGCCATGAATCAGTCACAAGCTGTAGATTCAGCCACCTCTGAATAAGCCCATCTAAAATTGCTTGCGGCTTTGGGGGGACCTCTAGACACACTGTAACACCTAGATGTGCTTAATTCTGCCCCTGAAGTGGTCACTGTGACAGCTGACCGCTTCACCTGGGACAGACACCGGGAAAGCGAGCGACGCAGTTGTTGGGTCTCTCTGGTTACGGTGCAGGACCCTGCACCATGTTTACAAGTGCTCAGACTTCCCAGTGGGTAAAGATCTCCAGCTGCAATCATGAATGACCTTCTCTGAAAGACAACAGGTGGAAAACCAGAACTCGCGTGAAAGATCCACGAATGCCGTTTCTTTACAGTGTGACACGGAAGTCCTTTCAGGGCCTCCCTGGGGTGAACATGCCCTTTCTCTCTCGCAGTTGACCAGATCTACCACCTGGCCTCTCCAGCCTCCCCTCCCAACTACATGTACAACCCCATCAAGACACTGAAGACGAACACCATCGGGACGCTGAACATGCTGGGTACGTTGTCCTCGCCCCTCCGCGCGCCTGCCCCCCGAGCCCAGACACGGCAGCCCTGTGTCCAGGCAGGCGCGCTCCTAGGGCTGCAGGAGCGCGGGACCCGTGCTTGAAGCCTTGCCATCCTGCTGAGCTCTTTCCTCGCTGGGCCTCAGCTTTCACAGTTGGAGGTACAATAGCAAAACCAGAACAGATTGCTTTTTCTTGCATGATTTCACAGAAGAGACTGCTGGCCTCTTGCTGGACAGTTGGGGGCAGTGTTAGGAAAGGGACCCGTGAGTGACCAGATGTGCAGAGAGGGTAGGGTGCCGTGTCGGCGCTCAGAGCTGTGTCCGCCACCCTAGACTAGAGACCAGGAGGGGCCTGAGAGCCAGACAGCCCAGGGCAGGTGGCGCTTGGCCCAAGCATCGGTGACAGAGCAGAAGGCGACCGCTCCGAGAGGCCAGCACGGTGCGGGGCGCTGAGGGGAGGACTGGGACAGAGGCGAGGGGCCCCGGGCCAGGATGGGAATGGCACACGTGGGCCTTGGGCGGCCAAGAGCGGCTGTCGTTGGCTGCTTGGACAGGATGGTGGCTGGAACCCTGGAGGCTTGGGTGAGGGCAGCCACCCGTGCCCTCTGCCTGCCAGGGTGCAGTCGGAAGATACCAGGAGGACTGGGGACAAGAGTCCCTTCAGTCACACCTCACTAACCAACGGGCTCCGAGTGTCAAACCTTCGATGCCCTCTGAGGGGCCCTGGGTGCTTTTCTGGGTACTTCTGGTCCTCTTTTGGTCCAGAGCCATCCCTCGGGAATGGGTAAGGGCTGGGTGGTCAGACCCTCTGCTGGGCGGGGCTTGGCTTGCCCACAGCTGCTGTGCAGGAGTCCACAGTGTCCTGACTGCTTGCTTCCTGCAGGGCTGGCAAAGCGTGTGGGTGCCCGTCTGCTCCTGGCCTCCACGTCCGAGGTGTACGGAGGTGAGTGCTGGGTGCCCGGGCTCCCTCAGTACTGAGCTCCTTGCATCCGTCCCAGCCTGCGGGGCCCAGCCTTGCCTCCCTGCACACCCTGAGGAGTGCACCCTGTCACCTGCCATAAGGGCCATCCGGGAGCTCCATGGAAGGGGGTTCCCGTTCACGAGGACCTGTACCTGGCCTGGTGCCTGGCCGCTCCCTGAGTACAGGCCATGCGCTGGCCTTCAGAGCCAGCTGGCGCTGGCCATGTGCTGTCCTGCTGGGCCTCTGGAAGAACCACACATGGGTGGAAGCTGTGTCACTGCCTGCAGCCCCTGTCCTGCCCAAGGCTGCCTGGCGCTGGGGACGCTAAGCGGGAACAAGGGCCATGTCTCTGGGCCATGCTGGTCCTTGTCTCCTGGACGGCTGGGGAGAGCGCTGACTTCCCGTAGTGGAGCCGAGCTCCAACACGATGGCCTTCTTCTATTTCACATGATTGTTTTAGATAAGAAAAATGAGAAAATAAAAAGGTCAAATTGAAAGAGACATTTTTTTGAAGTAAGAGAACCAAATGCAAAGCAGGCAAAGCACATGGAGACTGCACAGCGTGTGGTTACATCCTTCACAGTGCCCGTGAAGAGCAGTGTGTGCTCCTCTTCGAGGTCCGGGGCAGCACGGGGACCCCTTGTTGGATGTCCCTCCACGCGGGGACTTCTCCCGGTTTGTCTCCCCCAGCCCACGTTTTACCTGCATATTTGCTGCTGTTCTCTGGGTTGTTTATTCTGGTAGAGCTGTTCTAACGTGTGAGAAACGAACCTTTGTTCTTTGGGAGCATTAGCTGGGCCCGTTCACCTTTCAGAATGCCGGCAAAGATAGAGACGACAAAATCATTCCTGACTGGACCTTTGCATTGCAGGACACTGGTTTCCCCAGAGTGGTTTTGTGAGGGGTCTTTTTAGAAGCCTGGCACCCAGGGCCTTCCAGCCCAGCTGGTGCCAGTGGAGGGCTGAGTAGCTGGCCAGCCTCTCTTTGTGTCTGCTCTGCCAGAAATTGAGGGCTGTCTTGTCTGGGCATGGCTTGCCAGCCCTGGTCAGAGAGCATGGCACATGGTCTCTGCAGGAAGCCCGCGGCCTTCTCCCCTCGGCCCTCTGCTCTCGTGTGGTGAAACTGCTGCTCTGTGCGGTGATTTTCAGCCACGCTGGTGGGCAGCAGCCCTGCTCTGCAGGGTCTGGAAGGCACACCAGCGCTCTGCGCCTCTTGATGTCCACCCTGGGCTGCGCAGGTGCTTGGCCGCACGAGCGCTGGACTGAGGGTGTCGTCAGCGAGACGACACCCTGCCGTCGCGGCCCCGTATCTTCTTCCGGATCTCTCGGCAGAAGTGTGTGCGTTCGCCTCTGCTGTGCCTGTGCTCAGAGGAGGTGTCTGGGTCTCGCTGGGGCTGAGCTAGGTCTGGGCTCACGGTCCAGAACTCGCGCTAGGAAAGGCTCTGCCGCTCGGTCTCGGGAAGCGAGCTGCGCCCTGCAGATCTGAAAGGGGACTGATGTGCACTGCAGGGACGGTGGCATCTGGCGGACACTGTCCTGCTGCCCACCCTGCCTGGGCCTCTGGAGCGCCCTGCCCGGCCTGAGCCCTGCTCTGTGACAGCGCATGGGCGGTCACCGTGTTCCAGGGATGCAGTGTCCTTCAGGTTGTCTTTACATTTCATAAACATACAGCTAGACCAGATGCTTCTGCATGCAGATCATTTGTGTAAAAATGTAGACGTTAAAACAGTTTATGGAGGAGAGGAAGACAACTGAGAGACGCTGACCTGCTTTCCTCCCTGTAAGATGCCCCTTCCCAATCAGTGCTGGGGACATGTGTCCCTCGGAGGGAGCGTCCAGAGCTCTGCTTCGTTTCGTAAAGATGCATCGTCCTTGTGAGCTGGGAAAGCTCGGAAAATGAAAACCCAGACTTCCTTCCTCCACCCACAGATCCCGAGGTCCACCCGCAGAGCGAGGACTACTGGGGTCACGTGAACCCTATCGGCCCGCGGGCCTGCTACGATGAGGGCAAGCGGGTGGCAGAGACCATGTGCTACGCCTACATGAAGCAGGTGGGTGGTGGAGCCCGGGTTCCCCGAGCGGTATGGGGCACTGAGACAGGTTCGGGGGCGGCGGCAGCGTGCACCAAGTGTCGGTGTTCTTGTGCTGACCAGGGTTGCCTGAGGCTGGCTCAAGGCTGGGGTCCAGCAGCGGGCGGGTGCTGGGCGCCGTGGCCTCCTTGTGTCCTTTGCCCCCGCCAGCTGATGAGGGCCTGGTTTACTCTGAGGCTGTCAGGTAGAAGAGTTCTCTGGAGTGTGAGCTGCGCTTCATCTCTCCAAGAAAGCCCCCCGTGACTGACTTGCAGCATGGAGGCTGGGAAGGAGTTTCTGTGAGGGGGTTCGGGTGGAGCACGCGTCCCCTCGGGAGAGCAGATGTTGCCGGAGGAAAGGGGGCAGCAAGTTTTCCGGCATGGCCGCTGTCCCGCAGCTTCTTGGCCACAGAGCCATGCAGTCTGAGTTTCTGTGCTCGGTCTCCAGTTGCCCAGGGTTCCGATGAGCCTGTGACAGAATCAGAACACGAGAGCTGTTTCTCTCGATTGAAAAGCAGACTCCTCTGTTGCGCTTCCCCCCAGAGTGCTGAAGATACGCCCGGGGAGAGGAGGCCGCCCCGCTCTGTCCCCTCCATCCCCTCTGTCCCCTGCGCCCCACCTGCCCGCACCTCACCCCTGCCCTCTGTTGCAGGAGGGCGTGGAGGTGCGAGTCGCCAGGATCTTCAACACCTTCGGGCCGCGCATGCACATGAACGACGGGCGCGTGGTCAGCAACTTCATCCTGCAGGCGCTGCAGGGCGAGCCGCTCACGGTGGGTGCCATCGCCGCCCCGCCCGGATCAGGTCACCGTGAGTAGGAGGGGCGCCCCAGCCTCTGCTCACATAGCAGTCACATGTCACCCCGCCTCTCATCAGGGTAGAAGAAGGCGGGCAGCACGGCGCCAGCCCAGCGGAGCACAGGAGTGCCCGCCGTGCGACTGCTGCACCTTTGCCCACGTGCAGCCCAGGCCGAGAAGCACGGGAAAGGGGTGCCGGCCTCATTGCCGCCCCCGGCCACGGGCCTCTGCCTGCTGTGCCTCGGCTTTAAGGGCAGGAAAGGGGATTACTAAGGCTATGGCCAGCCTGCACCCCGTGCCCACCCAGGCTCCCAGAGGTGCTGCCCTGGGCCCTGCCGCTCGTGCGTCACCTGGGCCTCAGCTGGGGATGCTTCAGCCCCGTGTTCTGATGGGCGAGCCCTGCAGCACACCTGACAGTGGGGGGCGGGGAGGGCATCCAGACTCGGTCACGGTCCCCAGACTCCAGACAGCACCCAGGATGCTGGGAGGCCCTGGAGGAGGCGGACTCCTGCCTGGCCACCTTGAGGGAACCTTCTCACTGCTGGGCTTGACCTTGAATACAGTATGTGTCCCAGCCTTGTCCCCTCCTCACAGGGTTCTGTTTCCAGGTCACCCCAGGATTCCTAGGCCATTCCCCGGGCCAGTGTGGGGTCTCCCAGCCTCACTGTCGGTTTCCTTCCAGGTATATGGATCTGGGTCACAGACAAGGGCGTTCCAGTACGTCAGGTAAGGCTGGCCTGGCCCTGGCTGGAGCGGGACGCGGCGGGCAGCTCAGCCTCTTGTGTGCATTAGTGACCTCTGCTGGTGTGAAAGTTAGGACGGGAAGGTCCCGCTGGTCTGTGTTCACAGTTTAAGTGAGATTCATGCCCATCCGTTCTGGCTCCTGAGCTGTCCTGTGCTGCCACCTAGTGTTGTGTGGGTAGAGCTGCCTGGCCCTAGGGTGACGCGGCTTTCGGCTACGGGACACCCTCATCCCCCAACAGACCCGAAGGTGGGACTCCGACTCCGTTTAAACATGGTCTTCTACCAGGCGTGGTGACACACACCTGTGATCCCAGCACTCGGGCTGTGAGTTCACAGCCAGCCTGAGCTATGTAGTGAGACCCTGCCTCAAAAAAACTACAAAAATAAAGCACAAAACCCAGTCGGGTAGCGAGTCGTAGGAAGGAACGAGATCAGGCTGTGTCCTGATGGCAAGTTCGGGGCTGAAGCTAACTGCTCCCTAGGACAGCGTCACGTGGCAATCTTCCTGGCCTCCGCGGCCCGTGCGGTGGTGGTGAAGGCAGCACGCAGGCTGGCTTCCGAGGCGAGACGCAGCGTTACGGCTGGTGGAGCGCAGGCTGCCACGGTGCAGCCGGCGCAGGGTCTGAGTTCCCGGGTGCGTGAAGCAGCAGGCAGTCTGGCTCTGTCGTTTGGCCCCGTGTATTTTTGCTCTCATGCAAGTACCCCTGAGGCCCATCCACCAAGAAGTGCTCGTGGCCTGGGCCACCCCAGGGTGCTGTGCCCTGCCCCCACCTCCACAGGCGCCCCAGACTTCGTCGCCTGGGTCAGGGCCTGGGTAGACATCTTGGAGGACACCGGAACCCGTGATAAAGAAAATTTTAAAATGCCCACAGCCGTATAGGTTTTTCCTGAAATCATTTACCATTTCTTGATTTGTCCCAAAAAAGCCGTGAAGAAACATCCATTAGGGTATTTGCTCCCTGCCGCTAGGAACTTTGGGAACAGGGCAGAAAGCCTGTGGGTGAAGCACCACAGGCCATATGCGCCCTACTGTGGGCTCGTCCTGGGCAGCAGCTCCTGGGTCCTGTGCAGCCTCTCCCTGGGGACCAAGCCGGGCACAGGTGGAGAGCTCCCCGGGACCCCGCCCACAGTGGGGCCGCGTTGCGGCTCTGTCTGTCCTCAGTGACGCAGCCCACCCAGGCTCCCTTGGCCCCAGGCGGCTCCTTCCCGCAGCCTCGATGTCCGCTGCTAGGACCTCTGGGCCAGACCGGCTCCCCCGCTCGGTGGGTGCAGGACTGTGGGGGAGCATGACTGCGTCCTCTGCTTGGTGCTCACGGTGTTCCAAAGGCTGCACTCCCAAGAGTCACCTAAGCAGCCTCAGATAACTACTGTGGAGCCGGGGTAATGCGGAGAGTACTTTCAGAACCCCGTGGTGCTGTGCCTAATAGTGACCCGGCTCAGCGAATTGTGCCCCCGGGCTGCCCTGAGAGTAAGCTTGTCCCCTGGCTGCTCTCGCACACCCCAGAGCCTGAGCAGCACCCTGAGAAGCACAGGCACGAACCCTGTGGAAATCTTTCTCTGTGACCTGCCCGCCACCGCCTGGGAGTGGGTCCAGAGAGGTGACGGGCCCTCAGGAGCTGTGCTACCTTCGGGCCAGCTCTTCAGGACCCAGCTGAGATCGTTCGCTGACCACAGTTCTGCCACTTCTTAACAGGCTGCTTTTGTAGGAACTGGGAGTCCTTTATGTCAGTAAAGATGCGTGGCCTCTGGATGGTAGTTTCTACACTAGCTCAATTGTTCCCGAGGCCAAGGCGGCGGGCAGCCACCCGGAGCCCCGTGCCATCCCATTGACATCTTGGCACGACCGTGGGTGTGTCCTCATTCACATAGCAAACGCATGCTGCATTCTTCTAAAAATTTAGGTCACTTTGTCAAAGTGACACGTTTAAAGAGCCGCAGGTGAAATGAGTGTGTTCTCTGCAATTCTGATCTTAAACTTCGCCAGCTCGTTGTGGGAAAAGTGCATGGCCTCCCCACCTTCCGTGTGGATGACTGCTCCAGGGCAGCAGCCTCTGACTCTGCCCCACACCCACTGAACGGCAGCTTTCCTGTCGCTGCGGCCCCGTGCGGCCGGAGCCCTAGGAGGATGCTGTGTGCTGGAGCGAGCGCCGCCACGGCGATGAAGTGACTTTGCAGAGCGCTGGGACTGGCATCTGCAGTTACCTGTGCGAGTGCCGCTGAGCGGGTTCATGTGCACGGCCCGGCTGTTGAGGATGAGAAAGCAGAAGTGCCTTGTTTACCCCACTTTGCAAAAAAGTCAGTACTGTGTGACGGGGGTTTTCGTCAGTTTACCACGACCATAGTGAGCTGGTCCTCCCTGGCAGGAGGAGGGGGTTTCCAAGTGGACGTCCTTGGGCCGCCAGGACAGAACGTTCCTGATGTCCCGGAGAGACTCAGGGCAGGTTCCTGTGACCGCAGGGAGTGTCATTTTCACAAAGTAACGTTTTCTTAACGGAGCCACACTTAAAAGCTTCTGAAACTAAGAGCCAAACTTGGTAAGCGGGAGCTTGCGTACTTCTCTCCACCCCCAGGGCCCCGCGATCACAATGCACTTGACAGACCCGACTCCCGACGGCTCCACGCGGGCTTTCTGGGGCAGCGGGTGGAGGCGTGTCCGCCGGGTCGAACACCGTGCTGTTCAGCCTTGTCTGTGATTCGCCAGTGTGGGACGGCATACTGGGCTCCACCCACCTCAGCAGCTCTGACTTTCTGGAATAACCACCTGCTTCCGTACTGGTGCGCAGACACGGGCACGCATCAGTGTGAGCTCCCCCGGAGGCGTCTGAGGCGCCTTCTTTGTGGCTGTGCCTCTTCAAGCCTGTCTCTGGTTTGTGGTCGAGCACTTAGCAGCACACAGAGTGGCAGCTCCACCCATCGCCACCTCCATCCCGTGTATGGTCTCCACCCCCTGCCCAACACGAATCCCAGAGGTCACCAGTGTCATTTCCTCCACGAGCGCCTGGCGCCATCAGCGCCACCCTGAGTTGCAGGGTGTTTTGCCGGTGGCTTTCCGTGTGGGCTTTGCTTTGGGGGTGGCTGAGAGCTTCCTTCCGGGAGGGCGGGTGCGGCACGCAGGAGCCTTGCAGTGGGGCTCCTCACCTCCCGCTTCTCTTCCAGTGACCTGGTGAACGGGCTGGTGGCACTCATGAACAGCAACGTCAGCAGCCCCGTCAACCTGGTGAGCAGCCACCTGGGCTCCCCTGGGCCGGCGTTAGGGGCTCTGTGGCTGGGATGGAGGGTGGCTGCTGTGGTCCTTACTCTTATAACCGGAAATCGTGTGTTCCTCAGGGGAACCCCGAAGAACACACCATCCTGCAGTTTGCCCAGTTGATCAAGACCCTCGTTGGTAAGTAGGACAGACGGTCGTTGGGTCAAACTGCCTGCGCTTGCCTGCCACCGACAGCACCGGGGCCAGGGTAGTGGGACACAGAGGGTGTTGGCCAGAGCAGAGCTTGTTACCTGGAGCACTTGACCGCTTTCCAATTCTTTACCTGGTAGAGACAGAAATGGGTGGGTGTATCAGTCAGGGTTTATTAGAGAAACAGACATAACTCAAGATACTACAAGTGTACAAGAAATTATAAGTCTGGCTTACAGTGGTCAGCCACAGAGCTGGATGAGGAAGCGTGCAGAGGGTGTCTGCACGCTGGAGATGGAAGAGCCCAGCCCCGGGCCTGGAGCTCACTGCAGTGTCCGTGCAAGTCTGTATCAGGAGGCTGATGGGTCTGCGACGGAATGTTGAAGAATCTACGACGAAGGCCAGAGAGCCTACACCAGAAGGCTGAAGAGTCCCAGGCAGAAGCCAAACAGTCTGCACCAGAAGCCAGGAGACGACCAAGCGGATGGCGAGACCAGAGCTCCTCCGAAGAACCAGCAGCCAGTCCTTCCTCAATTCCCTTTTTTTATGCAGTCTATCTGCTCTGGGAGGTGGGGGTGGTCCTCTACCCTCACAGCCTCTGCATGCCTTCCCCTTGCACAGGCTCAGGATGAATACAAAATATGCGCCCTGGCTCCCTGCTGAGTCACATAGTTAACTCCCTAAACTTCTCAAATTAACACAATAAACAACAGCCCAGAAGGGAAAGGGCGTGTCCTTTTCACCCCAAGATGCAGAACTGCTGAGTCAGTTAGCCAAGCCTCTAGACTCCCCAAGTTGATACAGTGTATCAACCATAACAGCCAGCATTGTCTTGCTGAGATTCCTGTGTTGGGCCTGAGACCTCTGACAGGGACTGGGTCGGGTGGCCCTGCACCTCCAGGTCACTTGATTTGATTTCCAACGCTGATCCTGGTGAGACTAGGATTTCAGAGAGGAGGGAGTGATACAATCTGTAGGTTTCCAGCATGTCTGCAACTTTCTGCAGCCTGGCCGGGCTGAGACACGGCACTGTGTGACCTTGGGGTGGCCCCTGTCCAGCTTTGCTCAGCCAGGAGATTGCTGGACGTGCCCTGGGGTGAGGTGAGGCGGGACGCCCGGGATCCTGCCCTCGCCTGAGCCCTCTCATGGGGCCTGCTCTCTGGGACTGACGGAGTTGACATTCAGGACCTGAGCTGGGCTGGGCCTGGGTAGCAGAGTGGCCTGTGAGGACTGCAGACCTTGGGGGTGGGCTCGCCGCGGCATCAGACCACTGTGGCTCTGCCCAGCTCGGCCAGCTGGCCCCATCCTGCAGGGCAGCGGAGGCCGTGTGTCCTGGTCGCCAGCAGTGGGCAGGTCTTGCTGCACCAGCCCGTCCAGCGGTGGTCCCAGGCTTTGTACAGGGTCTGTCTGTATCTCCCCAGTGAGGCAGGACTGCTTGAGTCCTGCTCTGTGGCCTGAGGGTCACGGAGCTGTGTAGACGAGGCCCAAGTGTAGTCCACGGTGCAGTTGGCTGTGCGGCGGGAGCAGCCCCAAGCGAGCGGTCTGGGTCCTCGCTCACGTCTCGTTGCTCACACACAGGTAGCGGGAGCGAAATTCAGTTTCTGTCCGAAGCGCAGGATGACCCACAGAAGAGGAAGCCGGACATCAAGAAGGCAAAGCTGATGCTGGGCTGGGAGCCCGTGGTGAGTGGGGGTCCCGGCCGCAAGCCCTGGTGCTCTTGGGGGCCCAGGAAGCGCAGCCTTGGTGCACGCCCCAGAGGGCTTCTCCCGTCACCAGCGGTGCTGGGCCACTCCCCGGAACCACTCGCTGGCGCCATCATGAAGAGGGCGGGTCCCCGGCGCTGTGACTGGGTGGCCCCAGCCAGAGGGAGTGAGGTGCCGCCCGCCTCCCAGGCCCCAGCTGAGCGGACTTGGTCTCCTTCCCGCTGCCCGCTCCTCCCTGTAGGGCGCTGCGTGCCCCGTTCCCTTCCTGCAGAGGCAGGACAGGCCCGCTGTGGTGTCCCCCGCTGTGGTGGTGTCCTCCCTTGTCCCTGCGGCGTGACCTCATGCTCAGTGGAAGTGGAGGTGCTGGCTGGACATGAGGTGCCCTGGGTGTGAGCAGTGGGCGCTGCCGCCTCTGTCGGGTGCAGTCAGAGGCAGGGATGCACCCAGAGCTCACCTGGCCACAAGTGCCCGTCACAGCAACCCGAGCAGGGGTGCAGCAGCATGGAGCCCTGGGGCCGTCGAGTCAGCCGTCCTCCTCTCCCTGGGGTGGCTGAGCCCAGGGTGCAGACGGAAGTGAACATGGAGGGCGCCCGGTGTGTTGGCCGCGGTGCCCCAGCGTGTAGCAGGCACAGGTGCAGGGCTCCGCGGTGCTGAGGGGAGGGATTTGCGGCGGCCCCTTAGTCAAGAGAGCCTGAATTTGAAGCGAAATCTGCGGAACACGGCTAATGCCGTCCACCCTGCAGGAAGCTGGGTGCATCCGTTAGGTGAGCTGTGTGCTCGCTGGGTCTCAGGCACGGGGCATCTGCCATCGTCAGCGCCCCGCTGGCGCTTGCTCCTGAGGAATGTTGAGGGAGTCGGGGCAGAGGAAACGTGGACGTCTTCCCCTAATGTATGCGTGTGTAGCAGCTTGTTGAGGTGTGCTGGCCATTCTCACTGCTGGGGCCCATTTTGAACTGGAGGATCTGGGTTTTCCTGCTTCTGAGCTGTTGAGCTCCTCATATGCCCAGCTGCAGCCCCTTCTCAGGTGTCCGTGTGTAAACACCCTGCCCGTGCCCAAGTGGTGCCCCCCTGTGACCGTGCCCCTGCTGGGCAGAGTACGGATGCGCTGAAGTCCCCTCTGCCTGCCCGCCTTAGCTCCTGTGCTCGGAGCCTGCCGAGCTCGCGGCGCGGGAGCAGCACGCAGCGCCGGCCCGCGTGAAAATGCGCGGGTCGCTGGGCTGGGCTGCCTCCAAGCTGTGCAGCCATCCCCGCCGTCAGACGGAGCCCACGTCCAGCGGCTCCTGGGACCTTCGGCAGGACCCGGGCCAGTGTTCTCCAAATGCTGGTTTGTTTGGGTTTTGAAGGGTGTAGTTTGAAGCCAGAGCCTACACGCTGAGCTACCCACGCCCTCTTTTATGTTTTATTTTGAATCAGAGTCTTACTAAGTCGCTCATTTGCCCAGACTGGACTTGAACTTGAAGTCTCTCTGCCTCAACCTCCCTTAGTGCTAGGATTTCACTTCTCTTTAGACTGAGAATTAGCAATTCGGTTGAGCCCCGTTTTCTGTCTGCTGACGGCAGCTTTACATGCTGTGGGGGTGTCGAGGACCCCTCTCAGGGGGAGGTGGAGTGCGGTGCACTCCCCAGCAGATGCAGAGGGCTGATGTCGCAGGGAGGGCCACGCTGTGGGTCAGGTGCCAGAAGGATGCACCCTCCCTTCGCTGCGAAGAGCGTTCCCTCTGAAGGAACGGCCCATGCAGGATGCTGACTGTGAGCTTCGTGCCTGAGTGGGAGGTGAGGGGTCTCTCGGGGCCAGAGCGCCATCATGCCTGGCACAGTGCGTTCTGAAAGCGGCCGCAGTGGTCTCAGCGGCGTGGTTTTGTGGCTCACAGAGGTGGCTGAGGGCCTCTAGCCAGCCATCACCTCCTGTAGCTCTCCCCTCTGCAGCCGCTCTGTCTGCCCGGGTGACGCTTCTGCTCTCTGTCCCCAGGTCCCGCTGGAGGAAGGTCTGAACAAAGCCATCCACTACTTCCGCAAGGAACTCGAATACCAGGCCAACAACCAGTACATCCCCAAGCCCAAGCCCGCCAGGATCAAGAAGGGCCGCACGCGGCGGGCCTGACGCCCGCACCCTCGCTGACCTGGGCTTGTCTTGTTTCTTGTTGAAAGACCTCAAACAGGTGTCATGAAAAACAAACTGGAATTCGGTTCCGAAGCTTGCTTTAAAGACACGGACGTGCCTAAAAACTCCCAGAAACTGCGGACTCTGCCTTGCACTTTCTGAATCTTTTTATGTGCAGCAGCCTAGGTGCATCTCTGCGTATTCTCAAGTTTTTTACCTTGCTGTGAGAGCCTGTGTCATGACTGTCATTGACAGTTTTATTTTCTGGTTTCTTTGTGAAGCTGAAAAGGAACATTCAATGGGATGAAAATGCCGAGTTTATTTATAAAAGTGGGTACTTACCAATGGGATGCTATTCTCTGCAGCAGGAAGAAAAACCAGCGGTGTTGTCAGGGGGCAGCGCAGCGGCTTTCATTGTCAGAAAGACGAAGAACTGCGTTGAGAGCTTTATGTTTCTTTTTTAATTCGGAATTTTTCCAAGACCTACCTTTTAGTTGCAGACTTGACTTAGAAACATTTCTGTGGGTCACCACAATCAAGGAGATCTGAAATCACTACTGCGTTGTGCTGCGTGTTTCGGGGCGGGAGGGACAGAGTTTTAAATATTCTTGGTTAACCGTGGATAAATATGCTATTTTAATAAAATACTGAGATTTGCCAGTCGCGGGCTTTGCAGGGTTGCCTTTCTGCTTCACGTAAGGCTTTGTTGGAGAATTTAGTCTAAAAGAAAGTCCTGAAGACATCTAGGCTTGTGCAGTGTGCAGTTTGGGGTATGGACAGGAAACCATTTGTGTCGCTTGGGCAGAACCTGTGCTTGCAAGCCCTTGGGGCCAGAGAGTGTCAGCGTGCAGAGGTCTGGGGTGAGGGAGCATTCGTATGGACTTCACTGGCTGAGGTCCCTAACCCTGGGCTCTGAGATACTCCAGCTCGGGGCTGCTTGGAGCTGATCCCCAGCGAAGGGAAACGGCAGAAAAGTGCAGAAAGCCCAGCCGGGCAGGAAGGACTCAGAAGAGTGGGCTGGGCTCGAGCAGCTGCCATCCTCGCAGGTGGGCACGGAGGCCAGGGCCCACACCAGGACCTCCAGGAGCAAGCAGCACCCGCAGCCCCGAGGCCTGCAGGGCCACCCTTCTCTGGGGCACCCGGAGGCGGGAAGGTCGGAACTGTCTCCTGGGGCCCAGGCTGCCCTCCACAGGCCCCTGCAAGGCCACCTCTGCGTCCTGACCTCTACGAAGCACTGCGCAACTGCTCCAGCCGTGTCCCAAGCAACCAGGCACCCTGGGTGACATATGGGTGGGGTGGTTCTGCCAGCACACAGGAAGCAGGAGTGACAGTTCTCAGCGCTGCTCAGGCAAAGGCGGACCTGGGAGGTGGTGACCTTGCAGAGCAACTGGAGGGCGAGGCCTGGGGAGCTTGAGAGCAGAAACTGGTGACCCCAGAATGCAGAGCACCTTGATGGGCCACCCTCCCGGAAGGGCCACCTGCAAGGGACAGCCGGGGGCAGGCTTGCGGGCCCAGCCTTGCCCCCGTGCACAGACCATGATGCTGGGGTTTTGGGGCCCTGTCCTCCCTGCTGGTGGCAGGCTGGTTCGTGCCTTACACCTCTCAGGAATGCCTCTCCCCTCCCTGTTTGCTGTTGTGTCGTGGACATGTGTAACGGTGTCATTTCACCACAGCTGACAGCTGCATTTGCCTCCCGTCTCCCAGGAGGCCTTAAGCTGCTGAGCTGGGCTGGGCCAGTCAAGACTGAGGATCTGAAGTGTCGAGCCCTGCACTGTGTATGGGAGGAGGACAGGGACCTGGGGGCGGGGTGGTGTCCCCCAGGGACTGCGCACCGGAGGCTTGGTCCCAGGGCAGCTGCGTCCGGAGATGGTGCAGTCCCTCGGGAGGCAGAGCCCGGTTGTAGACCCTGAGGCCCCAGGGGAAATGCTCCCGGCTGTACCTGTGGGCTCTCTGGCTTCCTCTGTCAAGATGGGAGCTCCTCCTGCATTGTGACACCGACGGGCCCTCACCGAGGTCAGCCCTAAGGGACCGCCTGACCTTGCACTCTGAGTGTCCAGAGTTGTGAGCCTGACAACTTCCTTGGGAAAAGTTGGCAGGGCTGCTGCTTGGTTACAAAACGTGAGCTTAATAACCCTTTTCTTCGTGAAGTTCGCCACTTCCGGTGTGTGGTGAGAGTAACAGAATGCAGGTTAAGACAAGCCTCAGGGTTTTCTTGCTGGCTTGTGTATTTCTGTGCGTTACCCACATTTGAAGTAAAGCCTGGTGGGTTCCAAGGGAGGGGGGAGAGCTCACAGGCCCGCAAAGGAGTAAGTAGAACTCGAGGGTGACCACCAAACATGGAACTGATATTTTT